GCAGCTAAGAAGTCTGCATGCCACAACTAAGACCCGTAGCAGCCAAAATAAATAATAAATAAATATTTTAAAAATTAAAAAAAAACAACAAGGATGCTCTTCCATACCCATGGGCCAGTTTATTCAGCAATGACGTGAAGAGCTATTAAGGCTGTGCTATCACATGGACAGTGTGTTGGGCCTGGGATAGAGAGACAAGTATAGAGCATATGTAAAGAGTTCCTATCAATCAAGAAGAAAAAGATGGATGATGCAATAGAGGAAAGGGAAAAGACTTGAACAGGCATTTCATGAAAGACATCCAAATGGCCAATAACATTAAAAGGTGCTCAACTTCATCAATCATCAAAAAAAAAGCAAATCAAAATCAAAAGGAAGTAACAATATACACTCACCAGGTGGTAAATATAAAAACAAAATAGAAAATACCAGGTATTATGAGGCTCTGAGGCACATGGGGTGCTCATGCACCGCTGAGAGGAGCCCGTTGGAAAACGCAATATTTAGCCCAGCTGCAGGGAGCATCCTTTATGACTCATCCATTCCCCTCCTAGGTATAGAGCCAACTGAGAGCCGTAGTCATATGTTCATGGAAGACATATACAACGTGCATAGCAGCACTATTCATAAGAGCCCCAAACTGAAAACAGCCCAGTGCCCATCTACAGTAGCGTGGGTAAAATGATGACATAGTTATACAATGGAAAACTTTACACTTCGAGAATGAACAAACTATCGCTACAGGTAAGTGAACCCCACAGATGTAATGTTGGCCAAAAAACCCACTAAAGAGTACATATAGCATGATTCCATTTATATGAAATTCCTAGAAGTCAGGAGAGTCGTTATTTGAGGGAAGGGTATTGAGGGCGGGGATCTGGGATCCTGGTAATAATCTACTTTTTGACCTGGGTGTGAGTTACACAGGGCTATTATCCAGGCTGTATACTTACCTGTGCACTTTTCTGTATGGATGCTATGCTTCAGTACAGTTTGTTAAAGAAAATAATATAGTCCCTGACCTCAAAGAACATATAGTATCTTGATTCTAGAGCGATGTTCTCCAAACTTTATTGACTGTGCACCTCTATCAGTAAAACTCCCAAATATATGTATTTCTATTATTTATAAATTAAATACATGAACCATTAAACTAATGTATCTTATAATACACAAGATTAAAATTTTTAAAGTTATGTTAGGGGCTTCCCTGGTGGCGCAGTGGTTGAGAGTCCGCCTGCCGATGCAGGGGACACGGGTTCGGGCCCCTGTCCGGGAAGATCCCACATGCCGCGGAGTGGCTGGGCCCATGAGCCATGGCCGCTGAGCCTATGCGTCCGGAGCCTGTGCTCCGCAACGGGAGAGGCCACAACAGTGAGAAGCCCGCGTTCCACAAAAAAAGAAAAAAGTTATATTAAAATATATATTATACACAATTAGAGATTCTAACGTTGTCTTCCTGCATTGTAGTGGATGTTTTGTGCATTTCTTGGGAATCGGTGATCTTGAGAATCAGCTTTAAGAAGACACTGGGAAGGAAAAGAAAGTTAGTGTACTGAAAATAAGCATTTTGAAATCATGACTTTGGAAAAAAATAAATGGGTCCAGTTCTCTTGGAGTCTGGGAAAAAGCTGGCATTGGGCCTACAAGGAAGAGAAAGCATTCAGAGCTCCATCTATCCTCGCCCCACTTCTCCCATGTGGAGTCTGAGCCAGAGGTGCAGCCAGAGATTCTGAAACTTCAGTGTGTATAAGAATCACCAAGGGGACTTCCCTGGTGGTCCAGTGGGTAAGACTCTGCACTCCCAATGCAGGGGGCCCGGTTTTGATCCCTGGTCAGGGAACTAAGATCCCGCATGCCGCAAGGAAAGATCCCACAAAAAAGAAAGAAAGAAAGAAAGAAAGAAAAAAAATCATGGAGGAGCATGTTAAAAGTGATGCCTATTCCTGGAGATTCTGATTTACTGGGTCTATGATAGGACCCAGAAATCTGTGTTTTTAATAAAACCTCTGTATTATTCTACCGGAGTCCTTACACTGTACTTTGAGAAACACCATCCTTAACACTAAGGTTGCCAGACATTTTCAGGTAGTCTTTGTACCACTGGAGAACGTTATAATTTATAAGTCGGAAGCGTTTGCATTTGCATCCTATTTGGCCAGACACCACCAATTAAAAAGATGTCGAGGGAAGCAGAAGCGGAGCCAGAGGCAGGCAGAAAATGGAAGGCAGAGACGTCATAGATAAACGAGGAGAGGAAGCCATTGTGGGGAATGGGAGAGACGGAGGCTATAGAATAAGAGAAAAGGGATGGGATAGAAGCGAGAAGGGGAGGGGGAGAGAGACCAGGGAGGGAGGACGGAGGAGAAAAGACAGCCCTGCTTTCCCTCACTCCATCCACCACCCACATGCACCCACCCACCAGGCTCTGAAGGCAGAGCAGACTCTGGCCAGACCCCACTTCCCTGGTGAAATTCATTTGCAAAAGAAGCATGAAGAGAAGAAAAGAGAAAGGGGAGGAGAGAGGAAAAGAAAGGCCACAGAGAAATCGTAAGTTGTGGGACCAAAAATAACATTTAGAAATAGAAGAAGTCCATCTTTATATCGGTCCTTGGCAGGTGGGTTGTAAAGGAGTGTCTGCCCCATTCCCACAGGACCCTGGCGGCAGCTGGAAGTAAGGAAGTGATATTCCCCTTTGGGAGTAAATAACAACAAAATATGCACAGAGGAGCCCAGCAGAGAGAGGCAAAGCCACATTAAAGAGACAGCAAGCCTCCAGGGCCAAGACCCACCTCTAACGCGATGGCGGCTATTAACATATGTGAAGCCTGGAAAAATCCACCCAACGTGGGCTGGGCTCTCCGGAAGCTTAGAAAAGAAATTTGAGAGGTTTCTGAGAACTGCTGCCCCTCCTGGTCTCTGCTGCCTTTGAAGTACACAGACACACACACACACACACACACACACACACACACACACACACACACGATAGGCTTTTGATTACCATCCAGCCTGCTTCTCTTAACCCAAAGATAAGCTAGACCCTAATTCCTTTTCCCTAGCAGCGTGGCTGAGGCTGGGGTTTTCATTTGGAGGTGCTGCCGCTCTTATCAAGGTGTGAAAATAGTTCTCCAAAGTCGCTTAGGCGGACACAAATCCCTGGGGAATCTTGAGCTTTGAAAAAATGCACCTCGCTGCTGGTTGTTGGTTTCCTCGTGGGAAAGGGGGCTGGACTGGGAAAACTGTCAGCAATAGCACGTTTCTGGCTCAGAACAAAACCCAACCACGAGTCTCCACTCTTTTGAAGCCTAAAAATAAATTCGGAATTAATCACAACAGAGAAGGAACAGTCTCTTCAATGACTATAATTATTAGGCTCATCCGAGTCCCAACTTTTTTGCTTACTAATTACATGGCTGGGACAAGAGACTTCACCTCCCAGAAACTCCATTCCCTCATCTGCAGACGGCGGGAGCGGGAAATGGGGTGGGTGGTGGGAAATGGGGTGGGTGGTGATACCTGTTTCGGAAAATCATGGGAAGGATTGGCTCACAGGAGGCCATCTGGTGAATGTTTTCGGTCAAGAGTCCATCTCTAGCAAGCGTGCCCTGGGCTGGGCTCAGACTGGAAGAGACTTTACCCAAATTTGGGATTTGAGAAGGCAGAGGGTGGTGTGTGGAAACTTCTAGGCTTGGTGTCATAAGCAGGTGGAATTCATACTTATTTACTCTCTAGACTAATAAAAATTCCTTCCAGAACAACCTTGGGGAGGAAACAGAACACAGGTTTACATTCCTCCTGACTTCCCCAGCAGGATTTCCCAGTCAGGCAAATGGTCTCCTGTGGTCACCTGGAGGTCAGAGCCTGAGAAGCGTGAACTACTCTGTGAGGACCCTGGGTGCAGCGTGGAGATGGGGCAGGACTCAAGCTGCTTCCCGAGAACCTTGTAGCAAACTGCCCTTCAGACCTGCCCATACCAGCATCTTGAGTGACAGCTAAGAAATGAAAGGGTGCATGACAGGGGTCCTCTCTGGGTATTCAAAGTGATAAGAATGGTACAGGAATATCCAGATACTTCAGGAATCCAGAATTCAACAAGAACTGAGCAAAATGGAATTTTGAACAAACAAGGCAAGAAATGCATGTACCATGTTAATTGTACAAGGCGGGCTGCTTCAGCGGGGGTGGGGGTGGGGTGTCATTATTCTAGTCTCTCCTTTTTTATAAGTTTGAAACGTTCCATAATAAAAAAGGAGGTACGGTCCCCTCTTCCATATACCTAACTCTTAGGAAAGTCCTTCAGAATCTCAGTGAGAGCGTATTCACACCGTTTCCAAACAATTCTAACAAACTAATTTTCCTTCGCTAGCTTTTCAGTCCATAGTATATGGGACAAGTATCTTGACAGCGGGAGGAAGTGCCAGGTGACAGTTGACACTGGCGGGGAGAGGGATCTGGGAGAATCACTAAAAAAGGCTCAAGAAAATAAAAAGTGCCTTAGCCCAGAGGTGTTTCTAAGATGTTGGTGATGGATGTTCATTAACACACAGGGCAGCACAGACGGGGGGGGGGGGGGGGCGGGCAGAACTGAGTAAGCAGATCCTGAACTCAGCTTGAAAAGCAAGTGATGGGGATGGTAGCCCAGGCTCTGCTCTTCTAGCCAGAGCCTCAGTTTCCTCATCTGTGTCTGCCTTATCCTGCAGGAAAAAAGGTGTCTGCCTTATCCTACAGTCCCGTCGGAAAAACCAAAATAGGAAATGCATTGAAAGGTGGCTGCTGAACTATAAAACATTCTCCAATATGAAGTTTTGTAAGAGTGACAATGACCCTGAGCCCTTCCATTTCCAAAGTCAAGGCACTGTGTACTACTTTCCGGAATGATCTTTACCTTAGCCCATTTCGGCTGCTACAACGGAATACCCTAGACTGGGTGGCTTATAATCAGAAATGTATTTCTCACAGTGCTGGAGGCCAAGGTCCAAGATCAAGGCGTCAGCAGATGCAGTGTCTGGTGAGGGACCCACTTCTTTGTTCATAGACGGCTGTCTTCTCACTGTGTCCTCACAGGACAGAAGGGACAAGGCACCTCTGTGGGGTCTTTCTGGTAAGTGCATTAATCCCATTCAGGAGGGCTCCATCCTCATGACCTACTCACCTCCCAAAGGCCCCACCTCCTAACACCATCACACTAGGGGTAGGTTTCAACATATGAATTTTGGGAGGGCACATTCAATCTATGGCAACCTTCATCCACAGTGCTTAAACTATCTCAAGTTATTTCAAGTGTTTGCAAGTAAAAGGGACAGGGTTTTTCTTTAAACTGAAGTATAGTTGACTTACAATGTTTCAGGTGATTCAAATTTTCAGATTCTTTTCCATTATAGGTTATTAGAAGATATCGAATATAGTTCCCTGTGCGATACGGTAAATCTTTGTTGTTTGTGTTTTATATAGTAGTGTGTATCTGGGTTTTTTTTTCTGTGGTACGCGGGCCTCTCACTGTTGTGGCCTCTCCCGTTGCGGAGCACAGGCTCCGGACGCGCAGGCTCAGCGGCCGTGGCTCACGGGCCCAGCCGCTCCGCGGCATGTGGGATCTTCCCAGACTGGGGCACAAACCCGCGTCCCCTGCATCGGCAGGTGGGCTCTCAACCACTGCGCCACCAGGGAAGCTCCAGTAGTGTGTATCTGTTAATCCCATGTTCCTGATTATTCCCTCCCTCTCCCCTTTCCCCTTTGGTAACCATAAGTTTGTTTTCTATGTCTGAGAGTCTGTTTCTGTTTTGTAAATAAGTTCACTGGTATTATTTTTTTAGATTCCACAGAAAAGTGATATCATATGGTACTTGTCTTTTTCTGTTTAACTTACTTCACTTAGTATGATCATCTCTAGGTCCATCCATGTTGCTGCAAAATGGCAATATTTCATTCTTTTCGTGGCTGAGTAGTATTCCGTTGCATATGTATACCACATCTTCTTATCCATTCATCCGTTGATGAATGGTTGCTTCCATGTCTTGGCTACCGTCAATAGTGCTGTCGTGAATATCGTGGTGTATGTATCTTTTCAAATTAGAGTTTTTGTCTTTTCCGAGTATACACCCAGGAGTGGGATTGCTGGATCATATGGTAACTCTTTTTAGTTTTTTTGAGGAACGTCCACACTGTTTTCCATAGTAGCTACACCAATTTACATTCCCACCAACAGTGTAGGAGGGTTTGAAAAAAGGGACAGTTTTGATTCCAAGCCTCTGGAAGCAGTTGTCTCCTAGTGAGTTGGTATTAGATTGAACTCCACAGAAACAACAATGCCAGATCATCTTTGGTCTATACAAATAGCAATCTTAACTTCACAGTTGCAGTGCCACATCCCCCAGCCAGACCTACCCCCAAGAGGCAATGTGAGGCCCACAGAAATCTCCAATCCATCCCGTTCCTCCCACATTCCTTGTTGACCCTCCACTCTACAAAGTTTTGCCTGATGTTATGCTGGATTCATGATATGAAACGCCAACAGTTCTCTGGAATCACTGGGAACTTGTGACAAATTCCAATACCTGGGATTAACTATGGAGACTTTCATCATTGAGGCCTGGGGTGTGTGCATGCTTAAGTTCCCTGGTGGTTCTCATGCACAGACCTGGCTGAGACCCTGGGCTTAGTGCAAGGCTTCCCACCCTTTGCTGTATATTAGATTCACCTGGAGATCTAAAATATCCTGAAGGCCAGGCTGCACTCCATACCCTTTAAGTCAGTATCTGGGAACCGGGCATCAGCATTTTGTAAAGATCTCCAGGGGATGCCAATGGGCGGCTAAGTTTGGGAACCACTGGCACAGTGAATGATGGGATTTGCTGACCTTTATTTGCAGATGCAGGAGTCACCTGCATCCCAGCACTGACCATATCGTCAGGGAGTGAAGACAGCGCAGGGAGGACAGAGACCTGGCTACGTGGGGCTCCGGTTAGGGCCTGGGTCAAGCTTACCTGTTCACCTAGTGCCGCACTCGCTGGCTTTGTCACCTGGCTCTATGCCTCTTGAGATGGGATACCCGCTAAGCCTTGCTGCCTCAGCCCCTTCTATTTCCCGGGCAGCTCGCCTTCTGATGCCCACAGTGACAGACACATTTGGGAGCTGCTTCCCCTGCCTGGGAGTGCAGCCCAGGACCCGCCAGGGAGCGTGTTGCCATGGCGATCATGGCATACTGCTCCCTAGCCCCTTCTGCCACTGTAAAAGCCCTGTGAAAAATTAGAATTCACGGGGCTTTTCAGGCTGCCTGGACTTCTCCACAGGAAGGGGATGTGGGATATTTTTGCCCTCTGTGCTTTGGGAAGATGGGGCAATGAGGGAGGGGACAGCAGCCTCAAAACAAAGCCCCAGGTTTCCTGGTCTCTTGGGATATATGAAGGCATCTACTTTCTTAGAGCAACCGTAACCGCTGCCAGGATGTTTGTCAAGAGGAAAACGAGTGGGGATGTAGGAAGCAGAAAGAGCCATTTCTTCAGGTGGAGGAGGAGGGCAGAGATGGATGGAGGGCGAGGAGGGGGGGCATGGGGGCTGCATCGAAGGGGGATCTGTAGAGAGAAAACTGCAGCTGAAGGAAGAGGATGAGACTGAAGGGCTGCATGGAGCAGTGGTGGGTAACCTGGTGAAGAAACCAGGGAATTTAGCCAGGAAGAAGAGATGGATTGGAGAAGAGAAGACTGATAAAGAAGTGTGCACTAGTTACCTATTGTTCTGGACCAATTCCTGCAAAACGTAGCATCTTAAAACAATGATAGGGGCTTCCCTGGTGGCGCAGTGGTTGGGAGTCCGCCTGCCGATGCAGGGGATGCGGGTTCGTGCCCCGGTCCGGGAAGATCCCACATGCCGCGGAGCGGCTGGGCCTGTGAGCCATGACCGCTGAGCCTGCGCGTCTGGAGCCTGTGCTCCACAACGGGAGAGGCCACAACAGTGAGAGGCCCGTGTACCACAAAAAAAAATCCAGAAAAACCCCAAAAACAATGATAAATATCTATTACCTCACAGTTTCTGTGGGTCAGGAATTCGGAAGCAGCTGAGCTGGGTGCTTCTCGCTTGGGGTTGCTCATGAGGTTGCAGTCAAGATACTTGCAGGGGAAATTCCCTGGCGGTCCAGTGGTTAAGACTTGGGCTTTCACTGCCGTGGACCTAAGTTCAATCCCTGGTCGGGGAGCTAAGATCCCACAAGCTGTGTGGTGTGGCAAAAAAAAAAGCTACTAGCAGGGGCTGCATCATGTGAAGGCCTGACTGAGGCTGGAGGACTAACTTCCAAGATGACTCCCTCATGTGGTTGATGAGTGGGTGGTGGCCGTTGGCAGGAGGCCTCCATTCTCAACACATGGAGCCTCTCCAAAGGGCTGCTTGAGTGTCTTCATGACGTGGCAGCTGGCTTCTCCCAGAGAGAGTGATCCAAGAGCCAGTAAGAGAGAGCCGCAGTAATATTTGTGATCTCGCTTCAGAACTTATTCATCTTATTTCTACACTATCTTATTGGTTACACAGCCCTACATGGGGCTGGGAGGGATTATACAAGGGCGTGAATACCAGCAGGGGAGCCTCACCGGAGGCCCTCTTGGAGGCTGGCTACAACAAGGAGAAAATCCTTTCTGAGTCATGGGACTATGGAGTATATTGTGCAACTTAATCCCTGCACAAGGACACCAGGCATATGGGACAAGTGGGGATTGCAATCCAGGCTGAACCCTGATAGGCTGGCCATGCCCCAGCCTGAGCAGGCAGGTATGCCTTTTTGCAATGTGCCTCTCTAGGAGAGGTACATGCACTATTCCTACAAAGGTATAGCTTGTGCCTCAGTCTCAATTTATCAGGACACTTTTAATTGTAAATAACAGAAAATCCAACAACAACAACAACAACAAAAAAAAGAATGTATGGTATTGATTTCTATAAATGAAGGATGCAGGGATATGAAGCTTCAGGCACGGCTGCATCCAGGGTCTCAAACAGTGTCCTGACCTCTCTGTATCTTAACTCTGCTTTCTTTTGATTTGATGTAACTCTGTCAACTTTATTCTTTATTCTCATCGTGGCAGCCAGCATCTCCAGTCTTACTGACTCTCAGGTTCAGCCTAGGTATGGAGATTCTCCAAGTATTTGAAATAAAACTTCTGACCCTGACTCTCTTTGACCCCTCCCTTGAACATTTGCTGGGGGCAAGGAGATGGGACTCGCTGGTTGGCTTAATCTGTAATATATGGCCAGCCCTAGAAACTAAGGGGGCTGGCTCAGCTCCATCCAGCAATTTCAAAGAAGTCTTCCCAAGACGAGGTGCTGGATGCTGGTGCCAGAAAAAGGGGGGATAATGCCAGGAAGGTAAAAATCATGGTGGTCTTCCATAGCTCCAAGGCAGTATTTGACTGAATCAGGAAGGAGAGTGTTCCTCCTGGAGGCTTGCGGGGATGCTAATGATCAGAAGATGGTCCAGATTAGTGCTGAGATATGGCCGTAAGGGAGGAAACATGTGACTGCTCCCTTAGGTGAGGTCAGAGGCCTTGGTTTCCCTTAGGCTTGGCTGGTGGAACCCTGGATGATAGGCTTGTGATCTAAACTACAGACCTTTTAGAATTAAAAAGGAGAAGTTTATTTTCAGATTACTTTTCCCAACAGTAATGTATAAACTAAAAGAGAGAATCTATCCACTTATCAGCTTTTCCATCAAACACATTTGAATTGCTTCCTCCTCGCCATGACAACTTGTGATGAAACAATGCTTTAAAAAAACTGGGGAAATATAGGTGCAAATCCAGGACTGGCCTGGTTTAGAATTTAACTGTCAGTACCCACTGCTTCTCCATCCATATCTACTCCCAGGCATGAGCTAGATTAGCCCGACTCTCTTTCTGGAGTTGGAGACCTCCCCAGATGCGCCCATTTGGGCAGTTCCAACTTTGGTGATGAAATTTTCCTGCTCTGACTGTTCACCCATGCTTGAGTCATGGGAAACTTCCATAATCAACATATTCTTCTCCAGTTGGGGACCTTATCAATTCTACCACCTCACCATCCCTCAGCGTTAAAAATCCTTGCCCCTTCCCTTGCGCAGCAATTCCTGGTTCACTACGTATCCCTCTATCCCGAGGCAGAGAAGAGAGAGAAACACATGGAGACCGACAATTCCGGTTCGAGCTGGAGAAACAAGATTCCTGGTAGCTAGATGCTGCCATCACATCCAGCCTCCTGCTGGCACACTCTATGGCTCTCTCCTTTAAGGGTCCTTATCTATATGTTAGTAACTCTACCAAGGATGATTTAAGATTCTGCTAAATTCTGCATTTTAAAACCTGACTCTGCGAAAATTTGCTGGAGAAATGGCTTCTATTTTTAAAGGGGCTGATTCTTTCTTTTTTCTGATTATTTTCAAGTGAAATTGAATTTAACGGAGCAGTTTTGAAAGCCCAGCTGCACCGTGAATCCTCCCTAAGCTGTGCAGAACTGGGTCAGTGTTTCATAAGTGAGACGCACTTCTACTGGTGGTCTGGTGATTTAACAGATAATTGTAGGGGGCATGGGATGAGCATTTAAAATGATGTTAAACTGAAATTTTTATGAGTATCAAACTTAGGATTTCATGAAATTTTTTTCTAGCATGAGGTGAAAGTAGAAAGCTATATTATTAGCTCAGAATTTATTTGAAGACAAATGTTAGTAAACAATTACACTATTGGTGTGCAGACTTGGCAAAAGTCATGCAGGTGACTCTATTAAATTCCCATGGCTGCTGTAACAAACTACTACAAGCTCGGTGGCTTACAAGAACATACATTTTTTTCTCTCACAGTAGTGGAGGCCGGAAGTTTGAAATCAGTCTCACTGGCCTGGTCCAGTTTCACGGCCTCCAAAGGCTGTAGGGGAGAATCTGTTCCTTGCCTCTCCCACCGTCTCTGGTGGCTGTGGATATTCCCTGGCTCTTGGCCACATCACTCCAATCTCTGCCTCTCTGGTCACATTGCCTCTTCCTCTTCTGTGTGTAGCAAATTCTCCCTCTGCCCCTCCTTTTATAAGGATGCATGTGATGGCATTTAGGGCCCACCTGGATAATCCAGGATAATCTCCCCATCTCAAGATCCTGAATTTAGGATAAACAAGAAGGTCCTGCTGTATAGCACAGGGAACTAGATTCAATATCCTATAATAAAACATAATGGAAAAGAATATATGTATATGTATAACTGAATCACTTTACTGTACACCAGAAACTAACACAACATTGTAAATCAACTCTACTTCAACTAAAAAAAAATCTTGAATTTAATCACATCTACAAAGTCTTCTTTTGGGAATTCCCTGGCCGTCCAGTGGTTAGGACTCAGTGCTTTCACTGCGGAGACTTGACCCCTGGTCAGGGAATGAAGATCTCACAAGCCACGAGGCTCAGCCAAACAAAAAAACAAAAAACAAAAAGTCTTCTTCCCCCCCCCCCCCAAACAAGGCAACATATTCACAAGCACCAGGGATCAGGGTGTGGATATCTTTGGGGGGAAGGGGGCTATTATTAAGCCTATCACAGTGGCACAGGAATTTGGAACAGAACAAGTTAAGAAATGAGGCTTCCTGCCTGCAGAATTCATACACCCACCTGCGGGTCTGCACCTGCGGCAATGGATGTCGCCCTCTGTTCCCATCTCCCTCTCACCAAGGACACTGGAGGAGAGGGATGTACAGGCTCCTGTTGCCTTTGGAGAAGAGACACTTGTGGGGGCAACCCTGGACCCATTCATTCCCCACAGCCTGTGATTCTTGGACAGATTCCCTGGTGCACACCTCGGCAACAGCTACCCTGAAAAATATGACTTTAAAATTTCCCAGGTTCCAATGAGTGTTGTTTCGCTCCATACAGATCCCTACCTTGGGGCCCCCTCTCAGACTTGCACTGTATTTATTTAAATTGCTTTTGAAATGTTAATGAACACAGTAATTATTCTTGATTTTCCTTATGCGTTCCATTTATTAACAGGAACTGATACTATTCATGATTTCACAAGGAAGCATGAGCTCTAGAAGCAAGCTAACGGGCTTGGCTTGTGAAATTAACGAAGACATCTTCTTATTGCGTAATCAGTAAATTCGACACGGATGATGGCATTTCAGGGAAAGGCGTGGGCACAGCTTCTCGCGGGATCTGATTAGTGCGTTCACAGCGAGAGCTTGCTCTTGGGGGCCTTTCTGGAAGGAGGGTTTATCAACTGAACTCCCGTAATTCAGCAAGTTGAGTGAAAGTGTGCAAGCGAGGCAAGTCGGAGGGATAGTCTCTGTCTCCATCAGCTTTGATCCCATCCCGCCTGCTCCTCACTCCCACGCCCCCGCCGCCCTCCGGCCATCTGCATCTGCGCGGGCCTGTAACTGCTCTGACTCCAGTGACACCAGCAAGTGACATCTCCTTTGGCCAAGCAGACAAGAGCTGACCAGAGGAGCCAGGGAGCTCTGGGGCAGAGGCCTGACGGTCTGCAGCTGGCGAGAAGGAAGCCAGACCAGTGTTAGGCATTAGCTCTTCCTCAGAGCAAAGACTGAGAACCTTGCCAGGGAAGAAGCTTGTTCTAAACCCCCCAAAGGTGAGAGGGCTGAAGATGACCTTTTTTTTTTTTTTTTTTTTCTGGCAGCGCCCCACGGCTTATGGGATCTCAGTTCCCCGACCAGGGATTGAACCCTGGCCATGGCAGTGAAAGCCCGGAATCCTTACCACTAGGCCACCAGGGAACTCCCCTGATGACGTTTCTTTGACCTTGACCTACTTGAGGCTTACCAGGTGAGTGAGAGATGGTGGCGCCGGACATCCTGCGTTTTCCTGCTCAGCTCCTGGGGCTCCCAGCGATCCTGATTCAAATCCCAGGGTGGGGTCTTTTCCCTACACAGGGTCCTTTTAAATGAAAGACGTGCTGTTCAGGAAGATAGGAGGGCCCTGAGGGCTTTGCTCAAACACAGAGCAGACCTCCTCAGGCAAAGAGGATGAAATGGTACAGAGGCTGGGGTCCTAGCTTACAGGGAGACAAAGTTCTGATCCCAGCTGTTTAGAGACACGTGGGGAGGGACATCTTGCTGGATTTATTCACAGGACCTTTCACTAGCGACCAATAGTTAGAAGCAATAAAGATAGGCCTCAAACAATAAAATTTTAAAAAAGAAGCTTGAACATTATATACATATTTACATATAATAAATGGGGATTGATCTCATTATAAATTATGCAGGAAGCATATAGAATTTTTTTTTTACCTGAAGTACAGTTGATTTACACTGTTGTGTTAATTTCTTCTGCACATCAAATTGATTCAGCTATACATATATATACTACCTCTTTTTTTTTTTTTTTGGCCTAGCCACATGTGGGATCTTTGTTCCCTGACCAGGGATCGAACCCATGCCCCCTGCATTGGAAGTGTGTTGTCTTAACCACTGGACCGCCAGGGAAGTCCCTATACATTCTTTTTCATATTCTTTTCCACTATGGTTTATCACAGGACATTGAATATAGTTCCTTGTGCTATACAGTAGGACTTCGTTGTTTATTCATTCTATATATAGTAGTTTGCATCTGCTAATCCCAAACTCCCAATCCATCCCTCCCCCATGCACTCCCCCTTGGCAACCACAATCTGTTCCCTATGTCTGTGAGTCTGTTTCAGTTTCATAGATAGGTTTATTTGTGTAATATTTTAGATTCCACATATAAGTGATATCATATGGTATTTGTCTTTCTCTTTCTGACTTACTTCACTTAGTACGATAATTTCTAAGTCTATCCATGTTGCTGCAAATGGCATGATTTCATTCTTTTTTATGGCTGAGTAGTATTCCATTGTATGTATGTACCACATCTTCTTTATCCATTCATCTGTCGATGGGCATTTAGGTTGCTTCCATGTCTTGGCCGTTGTGAATAGTGCTGCTATGAACATAGGGGTGCATGTATCTTTTTGAATTATAGTTTTGTCCAGATATATGCCCAGGAGTGGGATTGCTGGGTCATATGGTAACTCTATTTTGAGTTTTTTAAGGAACCTCCATACATTTTCCATAGTGGCTGCCCCAACCTACATTCCCACCAACAGTGTAGGAGGGTTCCCTTTTCTCCACACCCTCTCCAGCATTTGTTATTTGTAGACTTTTTAATGATGGTCGTTCTGAATGGTGTGAGGTGGTACCTCATTGTAGTTTTGATTTACATTTCTCTAATAATTAGCGATGTTGAGCATTTTTCCATGTGCCTGTTGGCCATCTGTATGACTTCTTTGGAGAAATGTCTATTTAGGTCTTCTGCCCATTTTTCAGTTGGGTTTTGTTTTTTGTTGTTATTGAATTGTAGGAGCTGTTTGTATATTCTGGAAATTAAGCCTTTGTTGGTTGCCTCATTTGCAAATACTTTCTCCCGGTCTGTAGGTTGTCTTTTCATTTTGTTTATTGTTTCCTTTGCTGTACAAAAGCTTGCAAGTTTAATTAGGTACCATTTGTTTATTTTTGCTTTTATTTCTATTGCCTTGGGAGACTGACTTAAGAAAACATTGGTATGATTTATGTCAGAGAATGTTTTGCCTATGTTCTCATCTAGGAGTTTTATGGTGTCATATCTTATATTGAAATCTTTAAGCCATTTTGAGTTTTTTTTTGTATATGGTGTGAGGGTGTGTTCTAACTTCATTGATTTACATGCGGCTGTCCAACTTTCCCAACACCACTGGAAGCATATAGAATTTGCTTTATTATTTTTTTGTGTGATAAATGTTCTCCAAACTATCATGTTTATAACAAACAGCATTTAAATAAAATAAATTTATTTTCTGACTTAGAGTATTAAAAAAAAAAAATCCCAGGTCCAGTGGGGTGATGAGGTCAGAGACTTTAAAATTCCCTCCAGGGGCTTCCCTGGTGGTGGTGCAGTGATTGAGAGTCCGCCTACCGATGCAGGGGACACGGGTTCATGTCCCAGTCCGGGAGGATCCCACATGCCGTGGAGCGGCTGGGCCCATGAGCCATGGCCGCTGAGCCTGCGCGTCCGGAGCCTGTGCTCCGCAACGGGAGAGGCCACAACAGTGGGAGGCCCGCGTACTGCAAAAAAAAAATTCCCTCCAGTGCTAGGAGTCTGATTCCTTTATGAGTCACTCATGCCTTCCTCCTGGGCAGAGCTGTGGGGTGGACAGAACCTGGGCTCTGGCATCAGACAACCCCAGGTTTGAATCAAATCCCACCACTCACAGCTGGGCGGTCTCGGGTTTGTCACTTCACTGGGCACTTGTCCTTGTCCACAAAAGTGGAGATACCGTGTCCCTTGTGAGGTTGTTGGTAATTACGAGACAGAAGGACATTGGGCCAGGTTCCTGAGTCCTGAGTCAGATTCCTGAGTCTTGACCAGTGGCCTGCCCCCCGATGTCGGTTCATGAAGCGGCCATTGAGTCCCCCCAGTATGTTCACTGAAGCTTGTGGCCAGTTCCAGCTTGGACCTTCCTGTCCCTTCCCTACCCGGCCTCGCCCTGCCCCTGCGTGGTTTTGCAGGTGGACACTGTCCAGGTGCATCTGGGCACCTAGGGTTGGAGAGGCAGGAATCCAACTAGAAGAGCCAGAAAAATTCCAGTACAGGGAGGGCCCAAGAGAAGTCCCAACAGAAGACGGAACAGACCTGGCCACATGGACCCCAGAGCCATGGAACACTTTGCTTGTGACACCAGTTGCGCCTCCCTTTGGGGACCTCCAGCCAGTGTTTTCTGGTTAGGGTTCCATCAACAGTTTCCTCTGTGGCGGTGGAGACTGGCCAGGTGTGATGTGAGGGGAGGTAGTGGGGAGCCCCCCCTAGTGGCCATCGCCAAGCATGTCAACCAGGGGCCTCTTGAGGCCGTTTGTCATCCCCACCAACCCCCTCTCCATCCCACCTTCTCAGTGCCTTGTCCTTTCTGAGCATGTTTTCCCAACCTGGCCACTGCCTCGCTACACAAGGCCAGAGACCATAAAATTAGAGATCCGTGGCTCTAACTTACCTGGCCAGCACTGTGTTGTTGAAACATTTTATTACATGCCAGTACTTAAACATCAGATTTGACATCAAAATCCAAATATGTAATTTCTCTTGGAAAATCAGAAGCTCTGGCAGCACTGAGCTTGGGCGTCTGCCTGGCAACAGTGGCGAAGGCAGTTTACAAAACAAGCAAAAATCCCTGCCCTCTCGGAGTTTACGGTCTGGTGGGGGAGGGGAGAGAGAAGGCGCCCTTAACAAAGCCAATTATGATGCATATATAGAGACAGGGGAGGTCAGACCAAGCAGGGCTTATAGGCCACTTAAAGCAGCGGTCCCCAACCTTTTTGCCCCCAGGAACCGGTTTCGTGGAAGACAATTTTTCCACAGAAGGAGAGGGGAATGGTTTCGGGATGATTCAACCGCATTACGTTTATTGTGCACTTTATTTCTATGATCATTACATTGTAATATATAACGAAATAATTGTACAACTCCCCATAATGCTGACAGGAGGGCGAGCTCAGGCGGTCGTGCGAGTGACGGGGAGCGGCTGTAAGGGCAGATGAAGCTTCGCTCGCTCGCCCCCTGCTGGGCGCCCTGCTTCCTAACAGGCCACGGACCGGTGCCGGCTTGGGGACCCCTGACTTAAAGGCCAAAGGCTTTCACTCCGGTAGACTGGGAGTCACAAAAGCGTTCCGAGGAGGCTGATGTTACTTTCGACTAGGTTGTTCTGGCTGCTGTGTGGGCTGTAGGGCACAGGAACAGGGGCAGAAGGTCCCGTTAGGGGGCTGCTGTTATCATTCAGGTGGAGGCGACTAGGATGGTGTTAGTCAAGGAGATTGGAAGTGGTTGGTACGGAAGAGAATTAAAACCTCCCAAGTACGTACAAAAGCACCTCCCCGCCCCCGTATCTCCTGACCTCTGTTCCCACCCAGGCAGAGGGTCCCTGGTTGCAGCCCCATCAGCTGTGGCCTGAGCCACTATCCACTGGACTGACGGGTTACCCTCCCCCCAAGACTTCACAGGTAGCCCATGTTGGTACAGTCCCAGGGGGTCACTCACCAGGACCCAGAAGAATACCAGTCTGTACCCCCAACATTTGGAAGACACAGGCAAATGTCAGCCCCCAGTGTGACCAACGGGACAGTGAATTTTGTTAAAGTGACTTCTCTCATTGAGTCCTGATAATGAGGGATCTTCTGGAGGAGAGCAGAAAGGTCGTAACAAGCAATACAGCTGCCACCCGTGTGGAAAACTCTGAAACTTCTGAAGTTTTCAGCTATAAGCAGCACAGCTGTCCTGAGGCCGCCATGCTGTGAGGAAGGCCAACGTCCCATAGATGGAGAGGCCCTGAGACTAGTTGAAGAGAGAGGCCCAGCCAGCCCCCAGCTGCTCTGGCCACTGTCTGATTGCAATTGCGTGAGACCAAGGCCAGAACCACGCAGCTGAGAACTTCCTGAATTCCTGACTCATAGAAATGACTATCTTTATTTTAAGCCACTGAATATTGGAGGGGTCTGTTATACAGCAGGAGGCCACTAGAATAGCTCTTGACTTCAAGGAACTTAAAATCGAGTTGGAAAAAAGCCAAGAGGTAAGTGAACTTAGCCAAGTTTATTAGACAGTGCCAGCAGTCTGGATGACCAAGGCCCAAACTATAAAGCCCTATCTATGTAAATATAGTAAATATAGCCACCCTCGCACCCCACCTTTTCTCTCCCTCCACCTATCTTGCTCCTATATTTGCTCCTGTCTTGACTGACCTTCCAAATCCTCGATTCTCATCACAGGTTTGCTGCTCT